TTAGATTCAAATTTGGAAGTGTTTGGTAAAATGTAAATGACACCCCAAATACACATTATGTAACTATACCTGTTACAATAACAAATTTTGAAGCTTGACATATTGGTATGGAGAAATATTACGATAAACGATAATACTGAAACTACTTTATGCCGCTGACACAATGCGGACGTGGCAGATTATGATGATATGTATAGACAGTGTAGGATGATCTATGCTCAGGCAAATACTCTTATGTGTAAGTTTGGTTCTTGGGTATTCTTTAAATCATATCGTACACCGTTGTGCGCAGCCCACTTCTGGAATTAATTACAAAAAAGCCAGTTTGCAAAGACTGCAGGTGGCCTATAATAACACTTTGCGGGTGCTTTTGAGGAGGCCACGATGGACAAGTGTGACAGAGATGTTTGTTACTGCACGAGTGAACACTTTGCAAGCTGCAAGAAGAATTTTAATGTACAGTTTTATCCGCAGGCTGAACAAATCGGACAAGATTCAAGGAGATTCAGTGCGATAAGATATCAGTCCAATATGTGGAGACACTGGTGTGGTTGTCTTTTAAAAACATAAAGGTTTGTTGTTTTGTTATGTTACTGTCCTTGTCTGTTTTAAAAATGGACCATGAACCCGGAATAAAGATGAACTGAACTGAACAATATCAATAAAACACGATTATCTTGTTAAACCATTTTTAAGTAGACAGTATCATATCAATGAACCGATAAATAGCCAATAGAATTTACTTAGTCAACCCTCTACACCTCAATTCTTATCTCATTACAACTAAAATAACAAAAATCTCCCCATTTTCGCAAATAAAATGTGTAGATGATAACTAAAGAGGCCCAAAATATACAGTTCTAGCTTTCATATAGAACGATAAGTCAATACAGTAATAATTATAACAGGCCTACACTGCAAAAAGCCATGTCCAGCTAAGTTAAAATGACTTAAATTAAGAACATTATTTATTTGAGTAGTAGCATCATAGTGGTCAGATCCATTGACCCACAGGTTGACGGTGCGATTCCAGCTCCCACAGATCAGAGGCGGTGCTACCATTAGGCAACAGTAGGCGTCCGCTTAGGGCCCCCCGAATTTGGAGGGGCCCCCAACCAATTGCCCACAGTGCCACTAATGGCCGAGGCCTCAGAGCAATTTGATTTTCTCTCAATATGACATTAAATGAGAGTAGTTCACTTTCAACAACAACAACATCAAAATAGTATCTTATCTCAAATCTCAAATTTGTTTTAATTGTCAAAGCATCCCCCCTTTCACGTAAGAATGGACGAGTCGGCTTGACCCTGATTTAAACATAATCATAACATAATCATATATACTGGATGTAAACAAAAATGTAATTGTACTAGCAAAAAAATAAAACTACTTTTCAGTAGACTTTCCAGTCCACCCTAATTCAAATAGAGATTTGTTTATTTATTTAAAGACTATTCTTCCCGGGGTCCAAGTTGGCATAATTTACAAAATGTACCATTATAATAACAAAAAGTTCACACATAAGTTCATACAGTCCTGTTCCATAGTACACTGCACTACACAACACTACTACAATTATAATATATCCAATAAATTACAATACATAGCTAGTGACTAAATATAATTATGTACAATTTCCAATATACTTCTTTAACATTTTCTTAAAACTTGGTTCATGCTTGTGAACAGTTAAGGGGGCGTGTCTCAAGAACAATGAGGAAATGGGGGAAATACAGACAATGAACATAAAAAATATACAAAAAACAAACAAAAAACCAACAGAACTGTGCATTATAGAGAGGGCCCAAAACACAAGTTCGCCTAGGGCCCCCAAATTGTTAACTCTACCACTGTCTAACCACTGCCACAGATAAATGTTGTTATTGTGTCCTTGGGCAAGACACTTAACAACCTCGCCCCCAATGTCTGCATACATGATATCGTAAAGTGCTTTGAGTGCCTTGAATGTGGAAAAGCGTTGTATAAAAATTTAAGTAAATTCAACTTGACGAGTAAAATTATCCACCAATGGAACCAACCAATGTTTTTCCTTCAAGCAACATTCGATTTAGTTTATTATTTTAAGTACAAAGCAGATGCATTTTCAGATTTTAATGACAAAATGTCTTGCTCCGTTGGGAAATCATTTTACTTGTGAAGTGAAATGTGCTGAAATCACAATAAACCTTATTAATTCAAGTCATCTAAACTTGGCTAAATTTTTGTTTTCGCAGTGCGTACGTAACAGTACCTAAACGATCATGTAGTATTGTAGTATTAGTGCATTTAAATTACTCTGTGCACTGAATAGCCAGGCTCATTCTGCAACTGCTGAATGTGCAATCCCACTAATCCATTGTGCACCCGTCACTGATTAAGACATTTCTGGCGAGGTGTCAAGCACGTGGCCAGTTAAACAAGGCTCATCATGGGAGGCCCCTGCGTAAACTCAGCTGGTCAGGAGAGAGAGAGAGAAAAAAAAGGGAAAAAAGCTTGGATCAGAGCAGGGGGTCGAGTCTAACCTAACCTCACCCCCCTCCTCTTCTTCCTCCTCCTCCTCTTCTTTCCCCCTCTCTCTCCTCTCTCCCAGTGGGACAGGGTTTGGTCACCGGCACATGGCACGCTCTCAGCTCCCCCTCCCTCGTTTCTATCCCCATCTCTTCTCCTCACCTCCCGCTAATGTCCACTCTCCATCCCGAGCCGGCGGAGAAGCACGGGGGCCGATCCCGCGATAAACTGGGGGGCACCTGGAGAGAGTCTGCACGCCCCATTCAACAATTGGTTTACCGGGGCCACATGCTTATTAAAGATCAGGCGGTGGAAGTGGAGCATAATCCTGTAATGAGCAGAGGAGAGAGCAGTGGCCGCGCACACAGACAAGCCCGAGCATGCTTCACAGAAATAGATGCTGGACCCTATAGCCCCCTCTGTAATGACCCCTCTTGTTAGCTGGCTGTGGCTGTTCATTAGATACAGAACTGAACCAGGCAGTGGCTTCCAGGCAGGCAGGAGCTGTATGGAGATGTGCCATGCAAAAAAAAGATTAACTCTATATTTCTTTGACAGGAGCGGCTACCTCGGAAAGGGCTGGAAGAAGTTGTAAGACGCTGTAAGTTTTTTGGTTTGTAAGATTTTAAATTCTATAATAATAAACTGGAAATTTTTACTTTTGTTGTGCATATGAGGAATTCTTATTTTTGAAATGTACCTACAAATGCATAAATAATAACAACTATTTGATATATTCATAAATTTATCCATATAACATTCAGTGTTAGTTATAAAAAATAGAATGACCCCAGATAATTTTGTCTAAAAACTAGAGCAACACTTGGACTTTTGCAGCCCTCTCTAAAATCTAAAATCTCTCCCACCTTTTATTAATCACCATTTGTACATTTGAAATTTTACTCATAATACTCCCTTAACGACTGATTAACACTTATTATTTACACATTATGATGCCTTAAAATAAATATTTCTTCTCCAAAATGTTCCATAATCTTGGAGGTGTTAAACAAAAACACGTTGTCATGTCATTTCATTCTCATTTCAATAATAGCTTTATACAGCCCTTTTATTCCAAAGGCCACAAATTCATAGAATTATATGCTCTGATGCCTTACCTGTGAACTGCGCCGCGTGTTAACTTGGTAATAACCTTGTTAAAGCATAATGCAGAGGTGTGCGGAGATGAAACCTTGGATACAGCCATTTTCGAGTCACCTGCAAGACACAGACATTTCATTAGACAGACGTCGTCTTATAATTCCCTGTTATTTATGTATTTTTATTCATGCATTTTTTTTCTTTTCATTTTCTTTATTATTATTATTTTTTTTGCAAACCTCGAAAGTATAAACCCAAACTAAAGCATCGCAAGAAGAGCCCGCGCTCGTGAGATGTGTCCTGCTCTCGGTGCCATGGTTCAAAATCAAATATTTAGCAGCCTTGGGACTGATAAACACATCTTCAGAGGGACGCCATGATTTCACGCTATATCACAAACATTTTAAGGCATCAGATGCACTGCCTGTCATGGACTGTCATTCTTGGTGCGTTAATAATATATCCTGGCTGCGGCTGCGGACATCCTTTGGCACTCATGGCGCATAAATAGGTAAATAACGCAAAAGGTCCTTATTTCGTTTTTTTCCTTTTATTTTTCCTGCGGTAAAATAAAATTAAGAAGAGGTTTAAAAATAAGCGCGTCAAACAAATCACTTTGATCACAGCACTGTGCTAATTAAGAGCTGTCTAATTAAATTATAACCTTGAGTTAACCAATGGCGTGGCTTGTTTCATTAAAGCGGGGAGAGTGATGGAGAGAAAATGCTTCCTGATTGCAGGATGGTGTCAATTGGCTAATTTGCTTCCTTCGCTTCTTCAAGTCGTAGCAAGGCGTTTTCCCCGCGTTAGACTGGGATAGGCGGTGATATAGGTTGAGCTAATAGTGGCTTCTTATAGAGCCATGCAGGTGGAGAATTGCTTGTCACCAGCGAGTGGTCTCTCCAAGAAATTTATGAATGTGGGCAGTGCCTTCTCGAGCTCGGATGGATCAGAGCTTCCGCTGCAGGACCATCCTATTCTATCTGCGAGTGACAACCTGGAGAGAAGTTCACCTCTGAAAAAAAACTCCAGGGAGATGACGAATCAGTCAGAGGCAGACAATTTCCCCGACTCCAAGGACGCGCCAGGGGACGTCCAGAGGGGCAAACTCTCTCCTGCTCTTCACTTCGATGGGTCTGCGGCTGAAAGGTGCATCTTTTCTCCCACTCAGCCGCAGCCAGTCTCCGCCGCAGCCCCCAGTGCCATGTTCCCGTACGCCAGTCAGCACGCGCCTCCGGCGTTCTCCATCGGCAGCCCCGGCCGTTACATGGCCCACCACCCGGTCATCACCAACGGAGCCTACAACAGCCTGTCGCAGGGATACCCGGCCGCAGGATACCCGTACGCGCAACAGTACGGCCACGCGTACCAGGGAGGCGCTTTCTACCAGTTCTCCTCCGCGCAGGGGCTCGTGCCGGGGAAAGCACAGGTTTATCTGTGCAACAGGGCCCTGTGGCTCAAGTTCCACAGGCACCAGACCGAGATGATTATCACCAAGCAGGGCCGGTAAGTGCGCGCCTTCTCCGCGTCTGATAATCTACCTTCACTTTGAATTTATCCACATAATAAAATCATTCTATCTCTTTGTGTACTAAACATAAACAATTACACAAAGCGTTTCTTTTTGTTAAGTATTTGGATAAATCAAAGCTAATGTTTTATTTAGTCTATTTATTTTAGTTGTGGGTTAAGAGAAATGTGCATTAAAACATTATAGTTTGTTAATCGCTCGTTAAATCTCTTAACAGGTGCGTTTGTATTTCTTTTGTTATTTTCACAGACGAATGTTTCCATTTCTGAGCTTTAACATCTCCGGCCTGGACCCGACCGCTCACTACAACATCTTTGTGGACGTGATTCTGGCGGATCCGAATCACTGGCGCTTTCAGGGAGGAAAGTGGGTTCCTTGCGGGAAAGCAGACACGAATGTTATCGGTAGGAATGCGGCTTTATTGTAATTTTATTGCTTGTTTACATTACATGGATTATTTTGCATTTTTATTTTTAAAGCTAAGTTTATATTACTATAATAATAGTTGTTGTCTTTTTTCCTTCAGGAAACAGGGTTTACATGCACCCGGACTCACCAAACACCGGCGCTCACTGGATGCGTCAGGAAATATCTTTTGGAAAACTGAAGCTCACCAATAACAAAGGCGCTTCAAACAACACAGGCCAGGTACATGCTTCACAAAAACCCTCTGTTTTCATAAGTCTTTGTCCGTTTATGTTCAGTTAACTTGTTTTAGGGCAGTTTCTTTGCACCAGTCACCTGTAGCTCGGGTCATAATCTGCGTAAAATGCCAATAGATTAATCAGTTGAGTTTTTAATGGATATATTTTTTTTAAGAAATACATTTATCTGTTTTTATTTTAGCTATAAATTAAGATTAATTTACAATTGTGGGAGATTGTTTATAAAGCTATAATAAGCAAAACTATGCGTTTTGTTCTCGTTACTGATTGTGCGTAAAAAGGTAAAACAATATTCAAACCAATTCATTGTAGTAAATTATTATCAGTAAATTATTAATTTTAAGAAAGTGCTATTTTTCACAAGAAGAAAACGAATAATTTTACTGGGCAGCTTTTTTTTCATCCGCCAAAGTGCCTGTGTGCTGCCGGGTGCGCCTGTGGAGTGTGTTAAATCCGTGCGTAATGAGCTAATAGCAGGTTGCGTGTAGTCTCTTTGTAAACGGGGTGTGACACGCGTTTGTGTGCGTGTGCTCTGCAGATGGTGGTGCTCCAGTCCCTGCACAAGTACCAGCCGCGGCTGCACGTGGTAGAAGTGAACGAGGACGGCACGGAGGACACGAGCCAGCCAGGGCGCGTGCAGACGTTTACCTTCACGGAGACGCAGTTCATCGCTGTGACGGCGTACCAAAACACAGACGTACGAGCCCCAGTACCTTTCACATGGCATTTGTGTAGGCCTAGGCTATTTGTAGTAATTAAAAACTTTATATTATTATTTACTTTTTTCAATAATGCATTTCAAATTTCTGTTATCTTCACTGTCAAATAACACATTTATTGTTTTTGACAGATCACACAACTAAAAATTGACCACAATCCGTTTGCCAAAGGATTTCGGGACAACTATGACACGTAAGATTTATTTATTCTATTGTGCAATAAAGCATCCCGCATTTTTAAAAGGCTGTGGCCACACCTTTTTATTAAATTGAACTAACATCATTTTGAATATTTTATATTGACTTTTTCGTCATGGCTACGTTTAAGAAAATATGAGTCTTTTGGTAAAAAATAAAATGAGGCTTTGTAAAAGTGACCCTGTTCATATTCTGTTAAACGCTCATAATTTATTGAAAGCAGCCTATAGCCTGCTACATCTCTACCGCCCTTCAAATGTTTTCTATATGTCCATTGGAATATGGTGTAGATCTTTCTCCGGACAGCTGAGTCCAGTGCGGAAGGTGAAAGTGTTTGGTTGAACTTTTGTACTTGTGCTCTCTGAGCTGTTTGTTTGTCCTTGCAGGGTGTACACAGGCTGCGACATCGACCGCCTCACTCCGTCTCCGGGTGACTCTCCGCGTTCACAGATCGTGCCGGGCGCGAGATACGCCATGCCCAGCTCCTTCCTGCAGGACCAGTTTGTCAGCACTTATGCCAAATCTCGTTTTCACCCTGGCGTGGGGGCCGGGCCTGGCACGGAGCGCAGCGTCCCACTCGGCAACAGCTTGCTGTCCCCGCAGCAAAGCGAAGAGCCCCCTGTTGCCACCCCCCCGCAGCGCTGGTTTGTCACCCCTGCCAACAACCGACTGGACTTCGGTGCCTCGGCATACGACGCGGCGGATTTTGCCGGTAACGCGGCCACCTTACTGTCGTACGCCGCGGCCGGAGTGAAGGCCCTCCCGCTGCCCACCGCGGGCTGCTCCAACCGGCCTCTGGGTTATTACGCGGATCCTTCGGGATGGGGAGGACGCACTCCGCCACAGTACAAGACCGGCTCCGTCTTCTCTTGTTGGCCGGCGAATTCTCTGAGCAGAGGGGTCAATTACCTGTCCGAGGAAGGCGCGGACTCAGTGGCCACAGAGAGATCTCCCATAGGAGCCTCCGAGGAACCCAAACCCAAAGACATGTCTGAGTCCAGCTGGATAGAGACGCCCTCCTCCATTAAGTCCATGGACTCCAGTGATTCTGGGATCTTTGAACAGGCCAAGAGACGGAGGATCTCCCCCTCTGCCACCCCTGTGCCAGAGACAGTGTCCCCACTCAAGTCTGAGTGCGACAAAACCTGTACAAAGGACATTGGCTACTACAGCTTTTACCCCCACAGCTAAGACCAACATCCATCTATCTATCCATTTATCTATCTATCCAACTATCTATCTATCTAAAGACTGTAAAAAGCCGGGACCGGGACGTTGCGCTGCGCAGTTCATGGCCAAAGTGTACATTCTTCCACTGCTGTGTGTTCGCCTCACTCTGCGCGGGCCTGAGTGACGTCTGTTTCTACACTGTTGCGTCTAAACACTGTAATAAATATGAATAAACTGTATATAACATCTGGCCATATAGTGATGGATGTACAGATAGCCCTCTTCTGTTCAGTAGCCAACTGTTAGTCCAATGAGATGTTCCTGTGTAGCATATACTCCTTGTCTGGGAAATGATGTATTTTGTACTCTATGAAAGCTGTAGGCACCCAAAGGCGTTATTTATCTCTGTTACTAACTGTATGATACGTGTGCGTAAACAGGTGTTGGTAGGCTATACTGTAGGTTTAGGGTCTTTTACTTTCTTGAATTTGGGCGTTATCTTTCATAGCCTGTATGCTGCTGTGGAAATCTCTGTATCTGCTGTAATGTGCTGTAAAACAGAATAAACCATTTTGAAATCAGGAAATGCCCTTATAAAAATAACATAGTCTAATAGTAATCAAAATATCAACCGATTTCAGTTCGGCCACACATGCTATTTATGAAAACATTGCAGCTGGAGATGCACGAGTGTGGTGGATGTAAAATGTGCGCCGCGCGTGTCCTGCGTTTCTGATTGGACGAGCCAGAGCAGACAGGAGTAGTAAACAATTAAATAGATGCTTTGTTAGTAAGAAAAATAGATCAAGAAGAATATAGGTCATTACGAAATAAGGAGGATATTTCAGATGACGTGGTCTGTAGACATTAAACCCTCAGTGCTCTAACAAAGGCACGTGCTGATTTCATTTGTTGATCTCAGAGAAGCTTGTTGTTTTCTTGGTTTTACTTTTGGCATTTTTCATTTCGGTTCTTGTTTTGTGTTTGATAGACTAGTCCCGCGTTGGCATCTCCTGCTTAAATTCTGATTTGGGCCTAAACTGCTGAATTTGAGCGGAATAATCTGGGCACAGTCCACTTCTTCTTTCTTAAGACGTCTGTCTTTTAAATAATGTTAATGTGTTTTATGTTTGTCTTTATTCCAGCTGCTTAAAGGCTACAGTCTAACAGCGGACTCGTTTCAGGGACTTAGGCCTGCGTAATTCATTTTGCTTGGGTTGGCATTGTATTTTTGTCCAATAGTACAGAGTTTTTATAGTCGGCCTATTTTAAAAAGCATCAGGCCTATTGACTTTAAAATGAATCATTCACGTGTCTGAGCTCTGCATCTTTTAAACGCTGCATCAGAATTAAAACCACAGGCTAATTGTTTTTATGCTTGAAGGCCCACATGTTATTATAGACTACTTTATTTAAACAATGTATATTTTATTTAAAAGAAGATTGAGACTGAGATTTTTTATTTTTTTAATTAAGACATGAAAATATGTAAATTGTAGGCCTGTACTTCCTTTAACAAACAGCAGATGGCGACATGTGAACGCGTCTACGGCCTGTCACCAAACGCTCACGTGTTCCACATGAAAATAGCTGCGGTATACTATATTTTTCTGTTTACTCCAGTTATGAATGCAAATAAATACGGTGTGATGAATATTATATTTGGTCCAGTAAGAGTAAGGTACTGTGGTTGTGGCCGAGTTTTGCAAGAATCCACCAGAGCGACAGAAAGGCCTTTCTACAGCAGATGGCGACGCATAACAGGAGCTTTCACAACACCGTTTCTGCGTTTCAGAAAGACTTCTTCAACAATACATCCCTTAAGAAATAAAATGTATAATATCTAAATCTATAGAAAATAGGGAACATGGCACTGGGAGACACAGGGCTCTCAGTGCACTTAAAAGTCAATTGCATTTTAGACATTGCTTTTTTTTTTTTTTCATGTTTCTGGTCTTATTAGCAGCCCTATTTAATTTTAGTAGTCATAGCTTTGTTCTGTAGGTTCCCTATTAACAACTTACCAACCAGGTGGTTTGGTCCTCGTTTACTTTTCTTGAATGTGTTTCACACTGCGGGGGGCATAATAACAAAAGGAGGTCAGCAAGGACACTTCAAAATGGCTTCTGATCAAACGCAATTCCTAATGAGTCAACCAGTGTGCGTCCATAAAGTCTTTCTGTGCGCTGGTGTTGATTACAAACGCCCCTTTACCTTTTTGTGTGTAACAAAGGCTAAACCTCTGCAGCCTGAAGAGTGCACTAAGCTCTCAGAGAAGCTCCAGTGAGTGCACTAAGCTAACACAGAAGCACCAGTGAGTGCACGACCCGCCGCGGAGCATCAGCACGAGCACACCGACAGAAGCGCGAGCTGTGCCCGCTGTGCGCCAGCTCTGCCCCCGCTGCACATCACGGAAAACCACCGCTGCTCACATGGACATGGACGCCGAGGAGATGGTTGTTCAGACCGAGCCTCTAGTAGCGACGGTAATACAATTTAACTTTCATAACAAATACAGTTAGCGTGACATTTGCTAATTAAGTCACAGTTTAATAAAGGCATCCTATAGGCTCCTACAGCTGTGCGCGCGGGTTTGTGAGGACACCTGTGGACTTGCGCAGTGCGTGTCCTGCAGCTATAGGCTAACCACAGCCTCCTCCTGAGCTAAAACTATGGGGCAGTGGCTTTACTTATTGGTCTAGTAACTGTAAGTTGAGAAAATGATCAGATAACCAATATATTTAGAATCTAGCTGACACGGTGTGCTGCTGCTGCGGGGTTCATCATTCACCAAGAGGTCTGGCATTTTGACTTCACAGTGCTTTTACTAGAACATTCTAAAATAAGTTGTTTTGGTTGACTGACTGCAATTTAACTAAGTGGTTAGTCTGAAACTGGACTAAATTGAGTTGTTTTGTTTCCCATCCAAGACTTCTTTGCAGTCTTTTGCTGTTCCCTTTAGGCTCCCAGTTTAAGATTTCCCAGTTTATAGCAAGATGAGGTAAAACATCTTCTACTCTTCAACCATGGACCAGCTGACTTTTAAAACTTTTGCTCTGGATAACACCCATAGTCCTTCTTTTATACAGTCTATGATAACACCTGGAAGACTGAGACATGAGGAAACCGGCACAGAGGCCACCTCCCACGTCAGCCTCACTGAGGAGGTGCCCTCTGCCTGGGCGTACAGTGGGAAGAACCCTTCTGGGTGAACCACACTGCCCTTATGTGGGAGTACTCACTGGAAGTCTGTGTTCTATATCTATATTTTAGGTTCAGCCGCATGCCAAGTAAACACTTCTTACTATTGTTGTTGAACATTAACTTATATACCTATACATTTACATTACACGCTCACTTTTTACGTGACATTAGCCAGTTACCCAGTAGCTGCTAATTCACTTTCTGCCTGTAAACCAGTGCACAGTAGACAGTTCCTTCTGACTTTTGTTGAACAGTTTTCTTCTCATGTAGTGAGGGACATACAGTATATATCAGTAACCATGTTAAAGAGCTCATATTACACTATTTTGTGATCTGATCTATGTTATTATGTTCTTTCTTCGTCAAAAACATGGTAACACTTTATTTTAGTGTGCACTTATTAACATCTAACTACCCACTAATTAGCACAGTTTGTAAATGGTTTATTTGTCATCCATTAGTATTTATTTAACCCTTATTAATCTCTAATTCCCCATGAATTTATTCTGCTATTAGTTAGACATTTACAAACACTTTCCTATTAATACACTCTTTATTACTGTTTATTAGGGCATTTTTGTATAAGTTATGATTCTAATAAGCTTTTGGTATTAAGGGTGTTGTTAAGGACTAGTAGCACAAGAAATGTAGTTTTTACTTATTTGTGCCAAAAGCTTATCAGAATCATAATTCATGGACAAAAATGGCCTAGTATCATATGATACTAGAACGTAGATACTAGAACATGGACACAGGAGCTCGGACCCCAGAACTTGGACGACACTATCATATGATACAAGGCCATTTTTGTCCATGAATTATGATTCTGATAAGCTTTTGGCACAAATAAGTAAAAACTACATTTCTTGTGCTACTAGTCCTTAACAACACCCTTAATACCAAAAGCTTATTAGAATCCTAACTTATACAAAAATGCCCTAATAAGCAGTAATAAGGAGTGTGTTAATAGGAAAGTGTTTGTAAATGTCTTGTGGGGAATTAGACATTAATAAGGGCTGAATAAATACTAATTAATGACAAATAAATCATTTACAACACTGATAATTAGTGGGTAATTAGATGTTAATAAGTGCCCCCTTAAATAAAGTGTTATCAGAAACATACCTGGGGTTGTATTTTTTGTTATTCATGCTTAAAACACAAATCTTGCATATTTAAGATGAATTCTCTCAAACAGAAAGCATTGTTTGAGATTGTTTGAGTAATCTGGTAATACAGGAAGTGCTTCACTGTGTTTTTATAATCCATACACCTTATTCACGAGGGCTGGGTATCATTCAGAAGTTGTTGATACGATACATACCTCGAAACATAAGCCACGATACGATACATATCTCAATACAGTGAGCTTTCGATTCAGTTAGATATACAATATATTTCAAGTTGATTTGATACGGTTCAGTAAAATATAAAGGCAAAATCATGCTGTGATACTAAAAGTGTTTGTTAAACCACTTCTTGTGCAAAGTTAATATGAAAAACACCCATTTTACTCATCAAAACAGTGAAAATGTCAAGTGTTTTACATAAACGAGTTTCCTTCCACTGAACAAGCAACAAAACTGTAGCACTGTAACAAAATAATTTAGTAAAATTTACCAAAAAACACTCAAGCTCATGATATCGATATGTGATGTATCAGCACTTTAAGCGATACGATTTATCGATATTTTGATATTTTTGCACACCCCTATTACCCCCGCTAGAATCATTTGGATGATTTTAGCATTGGAATTGCCACTCTCTCCTGAATTAAATGTAAAATGTAGCTGCTAACTTGAAAACTACAGCTTCATGACATCACAAGGTGGAACAGAACATTTTGAGCTTTGGAGATGCAGTCAGACTAATAATAAAGAGTTAATCAAACGTGTGAATGAAACAAAACACAACTCTGGGTGTATTTTTGAAGCAGCAACGCCATTCTAACATGTCTTAAAGCTCACAAGAGTAAATTTTGCGTAATATAGGACCTTTAAAAGGAATTTGTTTTGTGTTTCAGGTGAGTTCCTTCTTTGGCTCCTTTAAACGCCCCAGTATGGTGAGTTATGCCTCTCTAACGGGGCACTGCATAACTTTCACGGGGAGGGTCAACCGCCTGCTTGTCTCTGTGATGTTCCACAATATGCCATTAAACATAGCCATCTTGCATTTATTCAATTAAACTAGTTTTCAGGGGAGTTTCTCATTACGATATCGTCACGATATGAAACTTACGGTACGATATTTATTGCGATATCGTGGGAATATGGTGGGAGGCTCACGATTAGGGATGTAACAATATCCAAATTTCTCGGTACCATATTTTCACGATATACATATTTATTGTGATATTTTGTGGAGGCTAAAAAAAATGTTAATATGCAATTTTTTCCTTTAATAATGCCATAATCCAAAGAACTAAGACTTAAAAGTGCTTAGAACTATTATTTCTTCTTGTAGTCTGCACTGAAATGGAGCAAAGGATCATGGTCTATGTAGTTCCCTCTGTTTTTTTAGCTATTGCTGCACCATAACTCTTAATTTAAGCAAAGAGACTTGTAATTCGACATATTGTGATGGTCCACGATATTAATGTGAGAACTTTGATGATACAATGTCACGATATTTCGGTTATTGTTACAGCCCTAGAAGTTTTTATTACTCAAAAATACCTTGAAAAACATGCATTCTTACTGTGAGTGTGGTCACTTTCCATAGAGCTGGCCTGTAACTAACTGTTTTTATGGAAATAACCAAGTCTAATACTATATTGTGGCACATTTCAGGCAAAGCAATAACATCGCCACAGAGGCAAGCAGCACCCTTCACCCGAAAAGTTACACAGTGCACCTTTAAGCAATCTCAGCGTGCTAATCCCCCACTTCCTATTGCCGCCTTGTCTGTGCATATCCACTCATCATGTCTCCGCGTTCATCTATGGCCATTCTTACTCCACACGCACGTTCAGAGTAAAGCGGCGCTGTTTCTAATGACTGTGATAAGACGCCTGGTCCCCCTGATGATGTCACTGCAGTAATCTCCACGGAGATGGCAGTGCCCAGAGATGCTCAATCACGAATTACAGTGGTTTGAGTCACCATGCACCAGCAGGCTCCAGCGTCTGTCAGCCCGGGTGTGAAGTAGAGCTCAGCCTGTAGACTATGCTGCTTTCAGGCTAACTCACACGCTCTGTAGGGGAACGCTGATGTATTCCAACAAACTGGAGGTCCCTTGGGGTTACAGCCATCAGGTAAGCCCAACCATAACATTCTTTAGCGTTTTTACTTTCAGTAGTAGTAGCCATGTGGGGCTTTAAATTGGCTGGTATTTTTAGGTTTTTGCTGTGACTGGCTTGGTAAATTTAATCATTTAAGCTGGATTAATTTTGATAGATCTCGTGTGCAGAAAGGTCGAGTCAAAGCTAATGTCTTCTTCAGTGTGGAAGTGTAACGCTAAAAAAAAAAACATTTAAAGGATTATAGAGCGTTATGTGCCACTAAAAAGCCAGTGTAATGATTTTGCTTTCCACATTTGCCTGAGCCATCTGCACGGATGTGTTCCAAGTCTGCACCATGTCCTGTGAATCCACTCTCACGCGAGTATAGTGTGGTGCCAGTCTCCCAGTTTTGAGCATGATTCTTGCTGTGAGCTCTTTGTGGAAAAATTAAAGGCAAATTTCTAATCCATTGCTTCAGGACATTCCTATTTCTTTTCAGTTATGTCACCTCCTTTGTCTGATTTGATACTATTATAAGAGATGGGATTAAAAGATGTTAAATGCGCTATTATGTGCAGAGTAGAGTGGTTAAAAGTATCAGAAAATCAGACACTAATTATACTAAAACTATGTACTCATTTGAGCAGATATCAATGCTGAAAAAGTCACATTCACAGGTCCGAAATTAAGCTTTCCTGAATATCTTTAGAATGATCTTGAGCTGTTTCAAAACAAGTATAAGAGCACATAGACTAGTGTACACCCATGGACCACTATGGAACCACTCAGAGTTTACACACAAATAATTATAATATAAAAGAAAGTATTACGATTTAATCATCATTGTCTTTATTCCGAACTCAAGGTCCATTTTTAAAACAGACAAGGACAGTGACATTACAAAACAACAAACATTTATGTTTTTAAAAGACAACCATACCAGTGTCTCTCCACATATTGGACTGATGTCTTATTGCACTGAATCTCATATTTGTGAGTGACATTATTATTTCTAGGGATGTAACAATAACTGAATTATCGTGATATTGTATCGTCAAATTTCTCCCAATAACACAATAAATCTCTGCTTAAATTAAGAGTTATGGTGCAGCAGTAGCTAAAAAAGACAGAGGGAACTACATAGACCATGATCCTTTGCTCCATTTCAGTGTAGACTACAAGAAGAAATAACTAAGTTCTAAGCACTTTTAAGTCTTAGTTCTTTGGATTAATTCTTGTCAAGGCTATAAATATGGTTATTGTTCCTCCCCACCATATCGTGAGCTTTCCCCCGATATTTCAATAAATATCGTACCGTGAGTTTCATACGTGACTATATCGTATCGTGAGACTTGGATATTGTTACATCCCTAATTCTTTCATTGTCCAATTTCTTCAACCTGCACATAAAACTGTACATTAAAATTCTTAGTGCAGCTTGCAGAGTGTTCACTCGTGCAGTAACAAACATCTCTGTCGCACTCGTCCATCGTGGCCTCCTCAAAAACACCCGTAAAGTGTCATTGTAAGCCACCTGTAGTCTTTGCAAAAAATTTTTTTATAATTAATCCAGAGGTGGGCTGTATACAACAGTGTACGATATGATTTAAAGAATAACAGCTTTACATCCTTTGTACAAGAACCATTATATTATATTATGTCATATCATATTATTATCATCATAGTATTGGACTCGGTATTGAGTATCAAGTCTATTCCTTAGTATCAAGACTGAGTTTGAAATTTTAGTACTGTGACAACACGAGTGCAGAACCTATAATTTTAAAAGGATGAGTATAAAATGATAAGATTGATTCATTCTGGTAGTACCACAGATATAACACCATATATAACAGAAAAGAAAGCATTTATCATCGTGATATTAGAATGGATATTGAGTATCAAGTCTACCTATCAAAATCTTTGTATGAGGCTTAGGGGTGAACGATTTTAAGAAAAAAAGAATTGCGATTTTTCTGACAGATATTGCGATTTCGATTTCATTCATAATTTTTCTTCAAATCAAGTTTCAGTACACATGAACATTTTCAAACATAACAGAAACTTACATCATACCAGAGTCCTGCACTGACTACTACTGTCAAAAATCACTTCACAGGCATTATTATTGAGCAGAAGAAACATTGATTGAGATGCCGGACTTTTACACCACATATGGACTGAACCAGGACTAAACCAGGTCTTCGATTAATTATTAATGTTTTATATTAAAATGATCGTCATTGTTATTACTATTACTAATGTGCATAAATAAACTTAACTTTACAACATATAAACCATAACCACTGTAGAGCCACATCAGCCCGATTGAGATTATAATGTGTTTAATGCAGCTTTGCGCACATTTGTTTACGTTGTACTGTAACGCATGGCTCATTTGCATAAACTCCTTGAAAAAAAAACCCCAGCTCCCTCCTTGTGCGCTGAAGCCGGACTAAAGGACACAACTCAGTGCAATATGTGTGTTCTTTCTGTGAGAGAGGGATGCTGTTGATGCATGGATGTGTGAAATAGTTGACGAAACAAAACCTGGGTCAGTTAGGAGCACTGCAAAAAAAACGTGGCTTTGATGCTCCCAAAATCATGTTGTCTGAGATCGCGAGTTTTTTGAAATGGTTGAGTGTAAGATGATAACGCCATGAATTAATTCTGATAGTACCGTGATTACTCGGCGCTGTAGATGGTCCCATTGATGTCATTATTAAATGCAGCGGGCTTATCCATGGCCTGTGTTTGTGTGGAGAGATTATCAGGAGCCATTTGACCAGAGCAGCTGTGAACTGCTTTATAAACGTAATGCTTAGATGGTCAACTGTCGGTCAACATCAACGTCACCTTCTGACCAGATTTTATTAATAGAGTAATTAGTCTGAAGTTTGGATTCCCAGAGAGCAGAACTAATGCAAATACTGGACAGTGGAAAGTAGACAGCTCCCTCCCACGTTGTCTAGATGTAGATGTAGATGTAGAGATGTGTCTTTTGATTGTGAAGGACTTGAAAGGTTCCTGAAAACACTCCAAAATGCATAATCCATCGGAAGTGGTTGTGTTGAAGGGAAATTTCTGTTTTCTGATCTATGTTATAATGTTGTTTCCTCATCACAAACAGACCTGGAGTTGTGTTTTGTTTCATTCACACATGTTTAACACACAAACCCTGCAGATTTAGGCTGAGTTCTTCTCTCAAACTGAAAACACTCGACTTCCTGATGCCATGTGATAATACAAGAAGTGCTCCACTGCGTTTTTAAACTCCATACACTTCCACTAGAATTATTTGGATAATGCCAGTCCTGGAATTGCCAATCTCTACAGAACTAAAGATAAAGGTAGTTGTTAACTTGAAAACTACCACTACACGACATTACAAGGTGGGACAGAGCATTTTGAGCTTTGGAGATGTAGACAGACTAATAATAAAGGACCACTCAAACGTGTGAATAAAACAAAACACAAATGTGGGTATGTTTTTGAGGAGGCAATAGCGCTCTAACATGGCTTAAAGCTCAGAATAATCAATTTTGTGTGATATAGATCCTTTAAACATGATTTTTGGACTAACAACTATGTTATACACATTATTTACCGCACAATTGGTTAGCCTCCTTTGTGCCTTCAAACTCTTGATATCTGACATTTTCAAAAAGACTATGGGAAAAATTCATGGGAAATTTCCTGTCAGAAACACTGCTGGACCTGGACACTACTTTTGTGGCCATACCAGCTTGTCAAAACATGATCCTGTCAAATCTCAGAAGCTAAGCAATGCCGGGCCTGGTTAGTACTTAGATGGAAGGTCACTGGGAAAATCAGGTGCCACAGTGAGGCGGCAGTCACAAAAATTTGTCTCTGTGTCCTTAAGCAAAACACTTCACCCACATTGCCTAGTATGAAAGTGGTGTGTGTGTGTGATGGTGGTGGTCGGAGGGGCCGGTGGCACAGTTGGCAGCCTCGCTTCTGCAGCTGTGGCTACAATGATAGTTTACCACCACCAAGTATGGAGTGAATGAATGATGCTCTTTAAAGCGTCTTTGAGTGTCCAGAAATGCACTAGATAAAACTGATGCATTATTGCTTGATTTCCCCAAGTTCAAATGGTTGTGATTGACAGGTAGCTGGTTTTATAAACGTTAATCTGAGATGAGCGAAGTTCGATATTGTGTTTTTTTCCTGCTCTAACTATTTGTCCCTGGTGGAGGTATTAATAAAGGTGTCTAAACCTAAATTATGTATGATCGATGAGCTTCTCTGTTTCCCTTGCGTCACTGAAATAAACAATATTATTAATGTGGCATTTAGACTGTTATTATCTGTATGTGGTCATCCATCAGTGCTGCATGGGGCATCCTGTCACGAGTAAGGAATAGACACCATAATGATAATTAAAAACACTCTTTCTAATTTTCAACATTAAATCATGGTACTTTCTTTTATATTACCATGTGGTGTTATATCTGTGTAATCTCTCAGTGGTCCAGGTATTTTCCATAGTGGTCCAGGGGCATTTACTAATCTATGTGCTCTTATACTTGTTCTTGTTCTATACTTGTTTTTGTTTTTTTTTGTTAGATAGTAATATCCTTGTACCCGTACCATAAATATACACATATTCACACATATAAATACACATATATACATGTATATATTCATGCATGTACATTACTATACATTATGCCAAAGATTTATTTCAAAACAGACTGCTAATTTTCAAACTCTATACAAAACCAGACTGTGTTTGTCTAATATAATTCAGCCATCTCCTCCATAACTCAAGATCATTCTAAAGATATTTAAGAAATGTTAATTTCTGTCCTGTAAATGTGACTTTTTTAGTGTCAATACCTGCTCCAATGAGTATCTAGTTTCGATACTTGTTTTAGAATCAAATAGTATCTGATTTTGGATTCTTTTGACAAAAATATGGGACTTAAAGGTGCATTGTGTAACTCTGGAATGATTTACAGTATGATATTACACCTTTTTATCTTCATGGAGACCAAACCAGACCAAGA